GGGTCTCGCTGCCAGCCTCTCAGCTGGCACCGGTTCGGGCCCGTTGTTCATACCTGCACACTTTGAAATGCTGAAACCGCGTCGAAGCCTTCCTGCTAAGTGGAGCCAACAGGTGGAAACAGCTGGATTTCTGTCCAGACCGTCCCTTTGCCACCCCCACACTGCGATAGTTCAGCGCTAATTGGACTGACTGGGAATTTCCACTTGCTCTCGAGCATGCTTTCTTTTCTCATTAGGGATCTATCCTCCGTTTGAGTTAAATCAGCTGTTAACAGAACAAAACATTCAGCTTAGTGGAAATCAGTGGTACAAAATCGCAGCTTTTGCACGAAGAGGCGAAGCTGGAAGGAATTCAGTTTCAGCTACACCAGACGGAAACCTGTGCAGCTCCGAGGCGTGTGCTGGAGCTGGGGAGGAAGAGGTGCTAAGGCAACATGCTCTGTGGTTGTGGTTCAAAACGAGAAGAGATCGGTGAGACAGGCAGGAAGGCACTAACGTGCTGGCTGGGCGTGAAGGCATGTCACAGTATGGCTGCTGAGAAACACGCCTCGCTCCTTACTCGTGCAAATGCTTGGACCTTTCGCAGCTGAAGCACTGCAGCCAGAATGCGCAAACTGCAAAAACCAGTATGTGAGATTTCCATTTCCAGTACGGGCAGGCTCAGCAGGGCGGTGCTGAGGCGCAGGCTGCCGATGAGCAGCGGGGATGTAGCTGCCTATACAGCCCGGGCTGCAGCAGGCAGGGCAGAGCACCCCGACAGTGGGTGAGGAGAGGAGCGGGGGTCCTCGCTGTGCGCATGCCCCCTCCAGAAGCACCCCCTGACCCCAAGCTGGAGAAAGAGGGGCAAACCAGTGCAGGCGGAGGCAGCCGAGGGGGTTGGCAAGGCTAGGCAAAGGATAAAAGACTGAGTAGTCACAGTAACGGAGGTGCGAAAAAGGAAAAGGGACGCCTGGCTGGAGCGAGGTATGTGAGGCAGGAGTGAATGGGAGGCAAGAATGGCAGGGATTTAGAAAATGTGCAGAAGAAAGGGAAACACGCTTTTCCACTCTTCCTAAAGGTGGTTCTGGAAGGATGTTGCTGTGTGCCACACCTGGTCTTCTGGCGATGGAGGTTCCTCACAGGGCAAGCCAGGGGACAAGGCGCAAGTGTGTAGCTGGTTTGAGGAGCTACTGGAGAAAGTCCACCGGAGGGCTGCGAGGATGAGGAGGGGACGGGAGCATCTCTCCTACGAGGAGAGGCTGAGGGAGCTGGGCTTGTTCAGCCTGGAGAAGAGAAGCCTGAGAGGGGACCTTAGAAATGCCTCTAAATATCTGCAGGGTGGGTGTCAGGAGGACGGGGCCAGACTCTTTCCAGTGGTGCCCAGCGACAGGACAAGGGGCAACGGGCACAAACTGAAGCAGAGGAAGTTCCAGCTGAAGATGAGGAAGAACTTCTTCCCTCTGAGGGTGACAGAGCCCTGGCCCAGGCTGCCCAGGGAGG